CTCATACTGATGCATGATACTTATCAGCCAAGTGAGACACAAAACTTGATTTATTGAAATTCATACTTTATATTGGAGTTTCAAAACCATGCATGTCTAGGGAATATCATTTCGGGGGAGTGGATGCCAAGAGAAAATGTTTCCGATGAGCCCAACAAAAAATGTTTCTTGGCAGGCATATGGACCTTTCAAGGCCTTATGGGTCACAACTCCCCAACAAAGTAGTGTGGTTATATTGATTGCATTACATAGACATTGCATTGTAATGACTCACATCATATTCATTATTACTTGATTGATCATACTGTTTACATGCCTTTGTGTTAGTGACTCTTCATTCTTGATCCGTGTAATTGAGTTATTTGACTTTGTATTTGGTACTCATTAATTTATGTTTGAACATTGAACAACTAACATTTGTGTTTTCAATGACTAAACCTCGTCACTACTTCAAGGAGAGACGATATATGATAATTATTGGGTAGACATTGTATATGCACTCATACTACACTCGATGCTCCCTTTTTGGGTGTAGGTTTGGATCCATGCACCAGAGGGGCTCGCGGCTTGCTTGAGATTGTGCTTTTCTTTAAGAGATATTGTGGTAAAATGTTGGGTTGATCTTCCGCACCAGTCTCCTGCTCTGTATGTTTACTTCTCATCTTTTATTTCGAATAGTGTACTAAGTATGTCAAACTTGTATATTTTTAAAGACTTGCACAACGACTTCCAGGTTTTGGGGGGTTGGGTTATATTCTGCATTTCTATGATCATTAAACAATAATGAGTTTCTTATGTCTTTCCACTTAAATGATAAAACTTAAAATTGGTTATAATTTGCCTATCGGGCTTAGGTGTAGACACCCTCACGATATGTGGTTTTTGGGTCGTGACTGATGTGAGGCCAAAAATACACATTTTTAATCATTATTTGTCTCACATTTATTATTTATATTTGTCCTTATTTAGCATGAATTTTATGAATTGTGCTTAATAGTGTATAGGGGTGTTCACGGGTTGGTTTGGGTCGATTATTGGTCAAAACCAAAACCAAACCAACTTAATTGGTTTTAAAATTATCAAAACCAAACCAAACCAAATATAATATACATTTATCGGTTTGGTTGTTTTCGATTTTGGTTTAGTTTGGTTCGGTTATTCGGTTATTAACCATACATAAAAATAAAAGAAACAATTCATTCAAAACGTGAAAAAAGTAACAACAATCCATTCAAATGAAAAAATAGTTAAAATGACTGGCATTACAGAACTTTGGATCATTGAATTTACTGAATAAAACTTCACAATTCAATATTTTGGCATAAAAGGAAGATACAATGACATTTTCAGTCCCACAATGAATTTCCATAGACACTCATATACATGAAACCAATAAGAAAAATATTCTCACCTTGGACATTTTTTCTTTCATAAGTAAATATAAATAAATTTTGATGAAACATATATAAAATCTTTAAAATTGTTTATGAATATAATATATTATGTATGTATATAACTTGTTGGTTCGGTTCGGTTATTTCTTCAATTTTTTTCGAACAAAATCATAACCAAACCAATGATTATCGGTTCTTAACAATCTAAAACCAAACCAAACCAAAACCCAAATTAAATCGGTTTGGTTTGATTTTTCGATTTGGATCGGTTTTTATCCAAATCATGAACACCCCATAATAGTGTATTTTATTTGTAGGAGTAAATTGGTGTAAAGTTGAAAAGTTTGAAACTAAAACGAATTAAAGATGGAAGGTTGAAGAAAGAAATCAAGCAGACAGCTTAATAGAAAAAAGTTAATATAATATTAATATAATTTATATATTCAAATAAGGAAAGAAGAATTGTCTCTGCTGCCACGTGGCAAGGATGAAGGCAACAAGAGCGTGAGGCGGTTAGACAGCGTAGTTCCACGCGGAAAACAAATTCCTTTTGATTTGGATTTCCTAATTTGATTTGGACTCAGTTATTATATTTAAGATTTTGTTATATCTATAAATATACCATAGAAATAATTATTTAGGGGGGCATCAATCATAGACCATCAAAGTATAAAGTTGTCCATACTTTTTAGGGTTCTTTTCTTCTCTTTTCTTAGACATTAGTAGCTAAAGACTCTTGTTCGGGAGCTGTAGCTATGGGTAATTGTTGAACATCGATTGTTTTGAATTAATGTTGGTTATCGTTTAAATTACTTTTGTATTTTTATTTTAGTATTTCATGCTTGATCACCATAGAGATAAATGTATTGTCTACTCTTAAACTCTAGAGACGCTAAGGTAGATAGACCAAAGGATACAAAAAACTTGATCCTCCATTAAATTGAGTTGATTTGTGTTTAGAAGTGACGCCCGGAAGAACATCTAACTTGGTTACAAAACAAGATGAAATATGAATGCTTGTCAATTAGAACTGCTTATCTCCACTCAACGATATAGTTAGATAGCTAATTGGAGTAGGCGATTAGAGGTCAAAAGACCATGATCATAAAATCAACCCTGTAAATTAGTAATTTGATAATCGTAGTTAATTCATGCATGAGATGTGATACATGAAACCCCATACATGGTTGTAAGTAATTTTATTATTTAATTCTTGCATTCTTAGTATTTAAATAAAAGTCAAATTCTTTTGGCACTCTAAAATAAATAGTTAGACTAGTATAATTTAGTAAAATAGTTAAGGGAAAATGCTCAAAAATGTCCTTAGCCTATTAGAAATAGTTCAAAAATGTCCTTCTTCCACCTATTGATTTAAAAATGCCCTTAACGTTTTCTCTAGGTTCAAAAATGCCCATTAATTAACAGAAATATGACATGAAATTTAACTTAACAAGTGGCCATTTTATATTGGTCCACATAAATTTTTTTACCCAATTAAAAGATCTGACCCAACCCATTTCACTGATGTTGAAGCATTTTCTCTGTTCTTTCTTCCTCTGTTTTTTTCTTCATAAATGGTAGATGTTTAATAGCTTTCAATCAAAAAAATAACAGCCAAACTGCAGCATTTTAACTCGGCAAAACCGATAAAATGCAAATCTTAAGGCTCAAACTAAAAACTTTCAACCCAACAAACAAACAAGTAAAATGAATGCTTGAAATTCAAAAAACAACAGCTAATTAAAATGCAAAATTTAAATCCAAAAAATCACAGCTATAACCCAATAAATAGCAGCTAAAATGCATAATAGTACAGGCAAAAAATGCATCATCATATAAGGATGAAATGCTTTTCATTTAAACATCAGTTTAAAGCCTTACATAGAAGAACTAACTGCCCTTTGCACTTCATACATGATTCGACGACTTAGATTCAACAATGAATTGTGGTCCAACCTTAACTCGGAAATGACGAATCCCCACTCATCGGCCCCGTGGGAGAGTACGAGTGAGGATGTGCTTACAAGAGACAAACTCATATCTTTATGTATAGTACCTGAACTAAATTTTGAAATTCTACAATTGAAGGGCATTAATTACTATTTCCTGTAAAAAGAGATTTTTGAAGAATCACAAGATTCCTTTGGAAGATCAATGTTGGGTTTGGGTATTTGATTCGGTTCTTTTAATTGGGTAAATAATGATGTGGACCTATATAAAATTGTCATTTGTTTAGTTAAATTTCATGTCATATTTCTGTTAAATAATGGGCATTTTTGAACCTAAAGAAAATGTGAAGGGTATTTTTAAACTAATAGATGGAAGGAGGGCATTTTTGAACCATTTCCAATAGGTTATGGGCATTTTTGAATCTTTTCCCAATAGTTAGTTGACAAGTCCTTTGGGTTCGATAATCCAATTTTTTTAAGAGCCATTATATTACTTGTGCAACCACGTACACTTGTGTGTGCAATTGGGAGCAACAGTGACACACAAGCTTAGGTTGTTATCATTATAGTTCCACTTTTGGTGAGCCTCACTAAGATCATCGTTGGTGCTATACATGTTCATTCTATCACGAATTTAGTATTATAAAAATAAAGAGGTCCCATGTCATATTGTCGTTGGTATAGACATGTAGATGAGGTTCAAGATATTTACATTAACTATGTGGCATTGGTTGTCAATCACATGCTCATTCGAAATGATAAATCTAGATTGGTCGGTTTGGCCATCTACTTTGTTAGGAAGACAAGGAAACTTAAATAACACGGCAATAAGGCAACAAATCAGTTTCCACTCTGTCCTTTGAATTACACACAAATACAATCACTAGTGTTTGAAAATTTCACCAATATAGCAGCCATGGGGGAATTTCATTCTTGCAATTCCACTTCCAACCCTATTCCACCAGGCCAATTCAACCAGCAGCATTACCCTATGCCCCCAGTATACTATTTTCTTCAACATCAACATCAACTCCATAAATACATACTCAACTTCAAACTCTGTTTATTTTCAAAAGTTTATAGCAAGTAAATAAACACTAGACCATTTTTGGGCGATTCACTGCCCTATGTTGGCAAATGAATTTCACATCTACCTTCCTGGGACAACCTTTGAATGGTTTGCTTTGCCAGCCAAAACTGGACCAATATTGAGAGAGGTTGTTCCATAATCGATTCTAAAAGATGAGCCATAATCCACAATCCCCAATGTCTCATTATTCTAGTATAATAGTTAACAAAATACATACTCAATGCAACAACATACTAAATTCTTAGGAGCTCATGAACCTCAAGCAACTGGCGACAAAAGCTACCAAGGTTTAAAAAAAAAAATCATCCTACAAAGTTATAGAGAGGGAAAGAACACACAATAAGAAAAACAATAATCAATTACACCAACTTATCTTAATAACCTATTGATTTCGAGGGAAATACTAACCACTATAAGGCAAGTTTAGTTGCTAAAAGTTGAACTCAAAAAAGGTGTTGATTATAAAGAAATATTTTCTGTTGCAAAAAATGCTTTCAGAATTGTAAATGATATGTATCATTCAAACCTTTCGTGAACAGCGCAGTGCAGCCATCTGAAAGTTAAATATACACTCAAAGAGAAGGATTGCTTCACCAGAATAACAAGTGCAGCACTTATGCAGAAAACCTGCATGGAATAACAGCACTTGTGCAGAAAACCTGCATGGAATAATCTATTTTCAAGTGCTGTCAAGGCTAATAATGTACATACAGAACCCATAATTGAGAACCAAGTGGATTCTGCTTTGGTTGGGCAAAGGAGGCCTGTTCAGTCATCAAAGGTGCTAAGACATGAAGTCGAGAGACTAGATCGATAAGTTGGATGTACAGAAATAATACCAAAATACACACTATTCCTACCGAACATCTCAAACTAAAGAATTACAAACAATGCATAATACTATTCATCAAAATCGGAGTCTTCTTCATATTCTTGAAACTCTCCACCTTCCTGCACATAGTATCCATCACATGGCAAGAAACACTGTTCAATTGCTGTGATAGCAACAGTTGAGGAATTAACGATGCTAGAAAGGGGAAGCTTACCTTTTTCTTATTAAAGTACGTCATGGCTCTATCAAACTCTCTTCGTTTCTCTGTTGCTATATCATAGTAATGCACTTTTTCCTAACAACCAGTAAAGTTCAATATAAGTGGTTTCTTCTCGGATCTTCATAATTCTATTTGCAGAGGAAACAAGTGCTTTAACAGATACAAACATTGAATAAGAATATATAATATGGTCCAATGATGCAAGTGTCCCTTCATCAGGCAAGAAGTTAAAGACTTATTCAAGAGCAGTTCTTCAAGTCAGATATACTTGATCACCTGTTTTTTGTTTTTTTTCCTTTTTTTTCTTTTCTTTTTTTTGTAATGAGATTTAAAAAGAAAAAAAAAAGCCTAATCTCAAGGAAGGTGATCATCTGCTGAAGCCAAGTAGCAATACAGGGTCTCATTAATCCAGTCCTTGCTTAAAGCCAACAGCATTTCAATTCTTCAGCAGCTGATCGAAAATAAGCTAACCTAAGATACCGAATTTACTTGCTGGACTCAGAATTTCAAAAACCTTTACTAATAGATTTGGACCAAGTAGTGCTTAACGTGAATCTGAATGCTTAGAAGACCACTTCTGGCAAAAAAGATAGGACTAGCCCCCACGAGTTAGGGAAATAAAATGGTGGCAAGGATTACAATACATTCTCTCTGATAGTGCAAATCAACAAGCTACAACTAGAAGGGTACTTTCCCTAGGGCATGACACCTAAGTGAGCTTCTCCTTAGTGATTTTGTCCCTCTCAAAACTTATCACCAAAGTGAATCAGCAGGACCTTTCTACTACTGATTAAACAATTTAAAGATTATATGACCTGATAAAAGACAAAGATGAATGCAGAAAAGCTTGGAAGTTGGTAGTGGCAAGTCACTACACTTTCAGGAATTTTTTTTTTCTTTTTGTTGAAAAATAATTCCTCTAGAAGAGGGAAAAAAATTAAAGGATCGCATAGGTAAAATGTCCTTCAATAGAAAAATAAACAAAAGTAAACAGCACCCAGAACAGATATCTTTTTCTATCAGTGGCCTTCAATTGTGTGGCATCTCTACTAGCACCACTTCAAAAGTACTATTAATCTCAGACGAAAAAGAAGCAAGAACTCGCAAATTTACAGACACAAACTTCTTTAGTTTACCCACGTTTGTTCACAATTTATGTGCTGGTAAATATGGAAAACTATAGATCCTAGTGGTCCATTACTCTTGGACCTAATAGAAGCAAGGGCTCGGGTATACAAAGCAATATAATTCTTGACACACATGTTTGGTTGCAGTTCAGATGTGTCACAGCCAGGGACACTTTCTTATTTCACATAGTTAGCCAGAAGAGGAATTACTAAATTAATTATCAATGGCTAGAATTAGATTTACTTTAATGAGATCCGAGGCTGAGGATCGCGCCACGTCAGCAAAGTAACAGCTCAGCAGACTGGTTGTTATACTCTTAACAACCCTGCAGAGAACATTCATTCAGCACATATCGGGTATCTTTCTCTCCCAAATTTCTTCTAGACTCTTCTCCTTCCTGATTCTTACCTCTATTCTTCTTCTTCCATTTCTGCAGATCTATCAAGCTATAAGGCTACTCTTCGACCTTTCCAATTCCTGTTATTCTGTTATTAGTCTAGTTTGTAATTCATTTCAGTTCCAATATAAATCAGAAAATTGTCCCAAAGACACAGCTCTATTGTTATATTCCTGTTATTTCTGTATCTTAAGATTGTCTTAAGGTTCAAGACCATTACAAGATGCCAGTTAATATGGATAATTACCCATCATAAGAAAAGGTGGTATTAAGGGATGATGTGATAGGTTCAATTATAAAAAGTGGGTGATCAGTGACAACTTTTACCTTGGACAAATCACGCGTAAGTTGCTTCAAATATTGATTTCCCTCCTAAATTCTTTTAGATATTTAAGTCTAGACATCCAAAATAAGAGAACATATATTGGGAATAATAATTAATGGTACACCACAGCCTAGTTCTGTTTCTTTGTCTTTTTCCCTACCACATTGAGAGTAGATCTGTGGTATTTCTCCAATGTAGTAACTCATAAATGAGGAATAACTTCCATTTGAACAATTCATTGTAGAGTTACCAAGAACTTAAACTTCCTGTACTGAGAACATGGCATCATGGACCTAGTGATATCAAAAGTTAAAAGCGCAAAAAAAGCTCTAAGGTTTGTTAGGGTTTTAAGCGCAAAGCGCAAATAAAGCACGAGCTTTCATGAAAAAGGCACAAATAGAGAATAAATACAAATATATATATGTTAAGTCCAACAACAACATATGCAGTGAAATCCCACAAGTGGGGTCTAGGGAGGGTAGAGTGTATGCAAACCATACCCCTACCTCGTGGAGGTAAGGAGACTGTTTCCGGAGAACCCTCAACTCGAGTATAACATATCAAAACAATAAAAAAGAGGAAATGACAGTGGAGAAACAAACCAATAATAAAGATATATGTTTAGTGCAATACTGATAATTATAAGAATAAACAAAAAAAAAAAATAATAATAATAATAATAAAGTGAAATATTAATTATGTAATGTCAACTCTTCAGAAGAGGCTCCCTAGCAAGGAAAAGTATGAATTCGAGCCTTGATGACGACATTGAAGTGCACACTAAGTGAGGTGAAGCGCTCAACATATTTTGAGCCTTGCTTTAGGGATTAAGCATGCCTTTGACAACACTTGGACCAAACACTGAAAAGCTACATTTATCCTGCAGCTTATCAATCGAAAGAAGGACCAGAACTGTCCCTCATCTTTGGCTCTAGGAACAAAACAAACCTCATCCTTCTACATGGAGTATTAATCGTCCTCCTTCATTGCCAAGTTCTTTAATGGAAACCTTCATGTGCTTGCCACACACTGAATTTCATTTCAGTCCAAATGACTAGTAGCTTTGTCTCTCTATTCGTTGATTATGAAGTAAGCAGCAAAGCTCCCTAAATGGAGCCGAAACATAAAAATCAAAATACCAAATCAAACACAGTTAGTTCCAAAAACATATCTTGATTACCGTCTTAGCTGATTGTAGTAGGTATTGTTTTGTATCTATAAGGGGATTCACCGACAGAATAAATCCTTTAGGAAGAGTTGAGTACCGTCTTAGCTGATTGTAGTAGGTATTGTTTTGTATCTATAAGGGGATTCACTGACAGAATAGATCGTTTAGGAAGAGTTGAGAGGATAGAGATTGGATTGATGGGAACAATTCCTTAGGTGTTGCAAGGGTAGTTGCAAATCCAGAAGTTTGGACTCGAGTTTAGTGGAGAAGTTTGGAAAAATCCAACAGAGGTGAGTCGTGGTTTTCTTCTCCATTAAGCAAGAAGTTTTTCACACTAAATACTTATGTTGATTATCATTATTCCATCATTTACATTCTTGGATAGTTGCTCAAAGGACTTGGTCTTTGAGTGCTTTGGTCGTAGCCAAACTAACAACAGTGCTACTTAACTATAAATATCTATTTGATAAAGTGGTAACTTAGGCTGTTCAGTAGCTAATTTATGAATCTTCTTTGGGATAGGGTTTGGTTTATGCGAGAGAAATTTGAGTTTTCAAGGGTGTGAGAAATATATGGGAAAAATACTATTGAATTGTTGTTCTAATTATTACATAGAGAACCCTATTTATAGACACTATATAATACAATTCCTTACCAAATAGGAGACTATAAACTATTCCTATTTTGTGTAGGATTGTGTTTACCTATTCTATTCTAACACTCCCCCTCAAGCTGGTGCATACAAATTATATGTACCTAGCTTGTTACAAATGTAATTAATACGAGGACCAGTAAAGGACTTGGTGAAGATAGCTGCAAGTTGATCATTTGACTTCACAAATTTGGTAACAATATCTCCTGAGAGTATCTTTTCTCTTACAAAGTGACAATCAATCTCAATGTGCTTAGTCCTCTCATGAAACACTGGATTTGATGCGATATGAAGGGCCGCTTGATTATCACACACAAGTTCCATATGACCGGTTTCTCAAAACTTCAGTTCTCCAAGCAAATGTTTGATCCAAACTAGCTCACAAGTTGCTACAGCCATTACTCGATATTCTGCTTCTGCACTGGATCGAGCAACCACACTTTGTTTCTTACTCTTCCATGACACCAAATTACCTCCAACTAAAACACAATATCCGGATGTAGAACATCTATCAAAGGGTGATCCTGCCCAATCAGCGTCTGTATATCCCATTTGTATATCTGATATCTGATGATATGCTCATGGCCTTGATCCTCGAAGAGTAGTCCTTTACCAATTTTATATATCGCAAAATACGAACAACTGCATCCCAATGTCTATCACAAGGAAAAGTCATAAACTGACTTACAACACTCACATGAAAAGAGATGTCCGGTCTAGTCACAGTGAGGTAATTCAACTTTCCAACCTACCGTCTATACCTTTCAAGATTACTGAGTTGCTCCCCCTGTCCTGGAAGGAGTTTAACATTCGGATCCATAGGAGTGTCAATGGGTTTACATCCCATCATTCCTGTCTCTTCAAGAATGTCTAAAGCATACTTGTGTTGAGAAATAACAATACATGATCTAGACTGAGCAACCTCAATACCAAGAAAATATTTCAGTCTGTCGTGGTCTTTAGTTTGGAAATGTTGAAAGAGATAATGCTTCAAATTAGCGATACCAACTTGATCATTGCCGATGATAACGATATCATCAATGTAAACAACCAAATAAATACACAGATTTGGTGCGGAATGCCGATAATACACAGAGTGATCAGCGCCACTACGAGTCATGCCAAACTCTGAACTTTCCAAACCAAGCACGAGGAGACTGTTTCAGACCATGGAGTGACTGACGCAATCGACATACAAGACTTCTAGACTCCCCCTGAGCAACAAAACCAGGTGGTTGCTCCATATAGACTTCTTCCTCAAGATCACTATGTAGAGGCATTCTTAATGTCCAACTGATGAAGAGGCCAATGACGAACGACAGCCATAGATAGAAAAAGACGGACTGATGCTATTTTGGCCACAGGAGCGAAAGTCACTATAATCTAGCCCAAATATCTGAGTATA